CACTGCTCTGCAACTACTTCTTAGCTCTCATCACCAGCCATCTACCTGCTACAGAGCCTCTCCCCTCAGGCTTCTTCAAGAATACTACTGAAAGCTTATGTTTTTTTGTCTGCCAGAAAAATGACAACTTAGAATCCTTGAAAATGTTCACAAAATTAAATTTTTTCCTAGCTGGTCCCACCCAGTACTGTGCAAGAGAGGCCTGTTCCCTTGCAAAACATTAATATCCTCTCTTTTCATTCTTATTCCTAGCCAGTCAATCTCCCAATACTGTTGATGTAAGTTTTAGTGGACTGCATGTCAAGCAGAGGACATTATCACAGTTGTCCAGTGATTATCTGGGCTGCAACAGTTATTTCTGAATGAAAGTACTGGTAAAAGGCCAACTGTTTTCATACAGATCTCCACTGTGCTTGCTAGATTACTGGGTTTTCTGGTGAGTCCTAGGCCTGTATACATATACTGTCAAAACAAAACAACATTTAGTGCCAAGAAGTGGTTCACAAAGTCACACACTGTTAAATCACACCCTGAAAAACAGAGATCCTATTTTTCAACTTTGCCCTTTTCTGTTTCTCTTCACTGTGACTAGTGCTTTCCAATTCTACCTTAATACAGCATGGTTCTTAAATTTCTCTTTTTCAGATACTAAAAGCAATGTAGAGCACAGCTTTTTAATACCTGCCCTGAACTTTTGATGATGGTGTAATATACACTTTACATTAACTATGTTCTGAACATTTGAAAGTTAATAAACTTTAAATTCACTACCAAATATTGAATAGACTGTAAGGATTTTGAATAAAAATGAAATTCTGATAAAAATGAAAAGTGTTTGTTTTTCAAATGTCTGTCACCATAGCTGACAGACATGGCATTTGTTCACTTCTAAAATTCACTCATATATTCTTTCTTTCATTTTTCTAATGATTGATATAAGGTTGGGAATAAATATGTTCCTCCTAATTTGATATTTAGAAAAAAAATTAATTTCTTATAATATAGATAAATATGCTTCTGTCTGTTAATAAAAGTATCATGAAAGTAATTATTACAACAAGGAAAAATGGCTTTAAATTGGTGTCATCTTCATGGGGGTTATACTTTCAGAGGAATCAAGAACTCTTGCATATAGGGAGGACCTGGTCTTATATTTTAACTGAACTTCTAAAAACTTGTTATAAAAAGTAGGTTTCTGCCATTAGTGTACTGTGAAAAGAAACAGAAACACAGACAGAGAATTCCCTATTTTAAACAATTCTTAAGTTGTCACCTGTCATGGGTTGAGATTGGCCCCCCTGAGAGCTGGGGGGCTCAGAGGTGATTGGGTGCCAGGGCAGTGTTCCCTGGAGAGCCAATCATCGCTCATCTTGTTCGCTTCTGCTGAAAAAAATCATATATACAGAGCCACTGGAAACTGTTGGCAATTTTCTGTCTGTGTCTGCTGCTGCGTGTAGGTGTAGAAGGCCAGGGGGTGGCTGGGCCTCCTTCTTCCCCTCTTTGGGGGAGGGGAGCCCTGTGGCCCCCCCAACTCTGCCTAAGCCAGAATTAGAGGCAGCATCTGGAGTGAGTGTTTGTGAGGGGCGCGACTCACAACATCTGAGGGAAGAGGGAGGAGGCCAGGCCCTCTCCACCCCCCCCTGCAGCTCTGGGACACTTGGGACAGTGTATAACTGGACCGAGCTGCCTGTGGCCAAGGCTAGGGGGCTTTTCTCTCTCACTGTCAAGAGGGAGTGGATGCAAGGCTCAACATTGAAGCGGAACCAAAGTGGAAGGGCTGAATGGAGCTCGGTGCCAGAGAGAAGAATCCCAGGTGAAATTGGAGACGGGCCAGAAAGAGAGGCTCGGGAGTTGCCCTGCAGAGGTTTGACCGGGGGCAGCCGAAAACTGACTTGGAGGACGCTTGATAAACTGACTACACTACAGCAGCCTACGAACCGAGGTATGAGAGGACAGACTCAAAGCTATCTTCTTGGACTTCATGAAGAAGAACTGCAGCAAACAGCTGAAGGTTGGTGGGGGAGTGTTCAGGGGCCCCAAACACTCCCACGAGAGAGAGACTGGTTACCTATCAGCCTGAAAAGGCTTTTCGTGGACTAATTGAGGGAGAAGCTTTGAAGGGACTGATAGAAATGTATAATAATATATATATAGTTGCTTTTAGCTTGTATAGTATTTATTTGTGTAAATAAAATGTATATATGCTTCCCCCTTCCCCTGTAGAAGCCTCTTGCCTGAAAGTTTTCTCTTCAGTGTTGAGATAAATTGTGGGAAGGGGTGGGGGAAGCCTGGAAACTGGATTTTGGATTTCTAATGTGGCTCAAACTGCCACACCACCCAAGACCAGACAGTTTTATGAAATTATAAATTTGGGTCCAAAGACAATAAAAGCCACATAATCCAGAATTACAGCTTTAGAAGCTGTAATTATTTTAATGAGAGATGGAGGAATGTTCTTGTTTTCACTTCTCTGATTCTACTAATACATAACTGTAATTCATTAATTCAGGGTCAGACAATGAGCCTTTGAGCAATTATTCACATGAGTGGTCTCACAGAATTCAATGTCCTCATTTAATGTGCCATTAAAATGGTACATGGGTGCATCTAACTAAAGCAACATTAATTCACTGCAACACACAACAAGTAGCACTGTAAAAAATGGAAAGATTAGTCAGCCACTGTCTATTGAGAACAATGAGAAAAGAAAATGGCTTTGTGAATTTGGAACACCCGAGTCTTATAACACATTCTGAAAGACAGTCAGATTATTTCAGAACTTCAGAGTGACTACTCTGCAGAGTTTGAAAAATCAAGACAATCCAAAGTAAGGAAAATATAAGATAAAACTCTAAAAATACTTAAGCATTACACTGGAGAAGTGTAAAGAGAAAGCAAACACCAAATCAGACAGTTGCACAGGCAACTCAATCTCACCTATGGTCTCACTCACTCTACATTCATGGCAGCCACCACAGCAAGGCGCTTGTGCAGAAGTACATAAGAGCTAATTTAAGTCTTTGCTTAAGTACAGCTCAAACCCAGCATGCCTTCTCAGGGAAATTAGATGTTCTCTTATTCCTGATCATGTCTCCTAGTCCAACACTCTTGTAATTGGTACATTTTTAGCTCAGATAAAGAAAATTTCACTATGCTTAATGTGATAATGAAAAACTGTATCTAAAAAACTTACTTTTCACCTGCCTCTCTATCATTCTCTATTGCACAGTTTATGACCAAAATTGTTCAGGTAAATTTAGAATGTTGCCTGAAAGGTGCCATAAAACCACGTGCCATGAACTAAACGCCTGAGATCACCTCTGTATGCATATTTCTTTTGTATATTTTTGGAGTACACAATACCGAAAAACAAGATAGAAGAGGCAGAGGCACTGATCAATTTGTTCCACACTGGTGCAGTTCACTTGCCTTGTTGAAGGCAGGCTTTATTTTGCCATATTATTGAACAGAGAGATTAGGAAATGCTATTCCCCAACTTACCTGCCAGCCTGATGATTTCCTCAGCACAAACAAAAATCCAAATACCACTGCTTGGACCAAAGGCACTGCAGGAGTCCCAAATCTTTGCAAATACAATATCAGCAAGGCCTAAAAGTCATTGCATATTTCCTTGCTCATCAAGAATAGGATATTCAATATATTTTAGAGAGATATGTCCTTCATGGCCAAAGATAAAGGCTAATGAGCCTGGAATTAGCATAGATTAACATCATCCAATTTTAAAAGGTATTAAGGGAGTATGACTTCAATCCAAAACCCAGAATTCATGCCTCTCATCACCATCCCACAGTACCACACCCGAAAGAATCCTCCCCTGCCTCACATTAATTTGAGACAAAATATTAATTCACTCCCAGGGGGTATTTCTTTGCTATGTTCTGTACTGAGATATGTATAAATCAGTCAAGCTGTATTAGTTCTCTAGCTGGCATGCAAATATAAGGTGTTCATGGAACTATTAATTGGCATCAATACTGGACTGTATAGTGGGTAACATAGAGCAGTAGAGATCTTATCTCCTAAGGTATATTTGTAGCCAGTGATGTTCTGTAGTCAGAAAAAGATGTTCCTCCAGAGGGTGATTAAGAGCAAGCACCTGACACCGTATTCTGAAATTAACTTGGTAGATTGTCAAAGCCTTCAGCCTTCACCAGAGTGAAGTTTCAAGTCTCCCTTTATCAGTGTACATTTTAAAACCCTGTGTACATCAGTGTACATTTTAAATTAGAGTTGAGAGTACAGAGTACATCCTTCTATAAAGTGCATCACAGTTATTGATAGTTATTACTTTCATAAATAATAATACTCTGGTTTTGTTGTGTCCAGAAAAGGTCCATCCTTCCTCTTCAAAGATGTAACATTTATGGAAACATAAGTAGCCTTTGTTAGTCCTCTGCCATTTCTTTACAAAAAGACATTACAAAATTAAAGTTTGTTACATTAATTCCCATAAAGCACTTCATTTGAAAAGTTACATTTCTCTTATTTTTCCTTGAATTTATTCAACTAAATGCAGCTTGTCTGTATGAAAATCAAGAAATAGAGCCCATCCTTGCTTCAGCATAAGACACTGTACCATAGAAACTGTTACATGGGGAAGATCTGACTTTTGTTTTAGTCAAGGTAGAAGGATCTTTCAGCAAGACTCTAAAAGGTCTTATAGTGTTCAGAGACTCCTTTTATCCATGGTCCTGCATAGGAATTAGTAACTCCAATGGTTTATGCACCAGATCTTTCCTGGGCTAGAACCCTAAATGCTATTCAAACCAATTAAAACAGCTGTGTCACACCACACTGAAGTCCTTTTTCTAGCATTCTACATTTCTAACTTTTCTAACATTGACAAAAGGACAAACAACTGAATAGAAATGAGAATAGTCCACTGATACTATGCCTTAGTTTCTGAACTCTGATGTGCTTAAATCACTCAAAAATTTTTTCTAGTATAAACAGCAAGACAAATTCAACAAAATACTTACAGTTCTTTGCATTAGTAAAGGAGTTTCAGAACAACCTATGCCTTCATCATTAAAATTTGATTCCATATTGATTATGTCTTCAATCACCTCTTCCATCTGATAAAATAATATTTTAAGACAAATCATTACAAATAATAATGGAAAAAAGTTATTTTGAAAATATAGAGGAATTAATCTTGAGTATTTATTACATCAATGAAACTGAATTTTAGAAGTTTATATCTTAAAATTCAAATAATTCAAACACTTCTACACAACATTCACATTTTTTACTTCTTATGAAAACAGCTGTGATTTAACAAGTCATATCTTTCCTCTTAAGCATCAGTCTATTCTCCTATTTTAACCCCTTATTGCAATACCAGATGACAGGAGTGCACTGCTATGTTGCCACTGTGACCTGTCATCTCAATCAAATGCATCGTATCCACAGTGCATTTCTGTAACAGTGCAGGAAGGCTGAAAGGAACCTGTGATTCTGCAAGAGTGTGAGTCTCTCAAGGTTTGGTGTTACATGCTGGTCTCAAGATTCAGCAGGCAGAGGTTTGTGTTGTGTTTACACTGGATACTTTTCCAGACATTTTCTGCTCCCATTTTTGCTCTTATCTGAGTTTAAAACTACCAAAGCAGATGGAATAGCTCATTAATTACTTGGGATGAAACTTATACAGATTTGGACAAAGTAAAGCATGAGTTTTCAATAATTGTGGTCTGGTTCCATTCACAAAAATAACTTTGGGAAAGATCCCATGCTGAACATGTCGCTTTTAACTCTACTGTCTGCAGCTCTTGGGAGCTGAAGGAAGTGTAGAGGGTCCTCTGCAACAAAAGAAAGTATCACACAGCCATGAGACATTTTGACACAGACTTTTAGGCCACATGGCCCAGCACAGCTGTGGTAGGGGAAAAACGTTTTCCCTCCTGAAGCTATAAAAAGTGGTAAACCCCGAGGGGAGTGGTGTCTCTCTTGAGGTTGACCCAATCAGTGCTCCTGCAAAATATAAACATATCACAAGCAGACCAGAAAAGAAGGTGATGTTATAGTTGTTGCTGGAGAGGTGGCCATGTTCTGAGGCCACGAGGAGAAGGGGCCCGGAACCCCACTGGGGGCTGAGCCTCCCCAGCCCCTGGCTGGGTGGCTACAGGGACTTGGAACAGTGTTAGACTGGGCTAAGTATCTGTAGCTAAGAGCTGGGGGATGTTTCTCCACTGTAAGCAGCAGCAGAAGCAGCGACAGAAACAGCAGTGAACGGAGGCTATGGCTGAAAGCCAAGAGATAAAAACTGAAGAAGCAGCAAAGCCGGCATTGCAGCCAAGGAGGAGAGACACAGAGAAATGTCTGATGGAAACAGAGCAGGACTAAGCTCTACAGAGAGAGAGAGTTTGGGTAATAACTGAAACAAACTCCCCGAAGTCCTTGGAGACCTCTCCTAGAGAGGAGGGGTGGTGGACTCGCACTTGAGAGGAGTCCTAAAATGCAGCACCAGAGAGACGGAGAAGAGCGAAGAAGCTCAGGAGTCCTGGAAAGCTGGACTGGGACGGTCAAAAGGAATGCAGAGGGGGGGTTCACCCCCCCGCTGCCACTGCTAAGCTAGCAGCCTGATGACAGAGCACGGGAGCTCTGCAAGAGAGCTTGAATCCCCTGAGGATAGGGACTGTCACAAAGACTCCTGCACTTCATGATATGATGTGGTGAAGTGACCTTTGTCCCAGTGAACGCAGCCCACAGAAGAGAAAGACCCTCGCTTGGAATCGAAGGGTTGTGAGGGGCTTGGAGACCCCCCTCATGTGTAATGAAAAGAAATCTAGCTACAGCTGCTCCATGGAGGAAGGGAGACTACTGCCCTAGAGAGACTGCTGCTCTGAGAGTGGAGAGGATCTTTCCCTTTCCCTTCTGGACTTTTATTGAAGGGAGAAGAGATTGATCCATTGTAATGGATCCACTGATTTATTATAGGAGAGATAGTTAAGATTGTATATGATGTATTATAATATTTATTTGTACAGTGTTTGTAATATAATTCCCTTTCCCCTCATATTGAGTCTCGAGTTGCTGTCTGGAAAACCCATCTCACACTGCTCTTAGTTGTGGGAGAGGGGCTTGGACTCTAGAATTGGATTTTAGGGCTCTCAAACCATGATATAAATGGAGGTTCTACCTCCCTCTCTAAAACCAGAGAAGTGTTCTGCCAGGAGGTGTGCCCAGACTTACCTAGAAAAGCATTGTCAGGGCCAAAAGGATGCCAAGAAATGCCAGCAATTAGACAATAGGAATGACTACTGTTTACTGCATCACCTGGGTGTTGGCTCTATATTATTTACTAATGTAACACTAGCCTACTCTCAACCACAAGGCATATCCACATTAGGAAATTACACTGTACCAGTCATCTCCCTGAGACTCTGGGATGGGATTATTCAAATCATCAAGAAGATGCCCATGAGAATTTCGGCCACTCTCTCAGTCTTCACCAGGCACAGGTCTGGAGAGGGATTTGCAAGCAGCCATCTTGCTTACCAGGACAGAGAGTGGTACAAGGGTAGGCTCCAGTTATTCCTGGTCAGATACCCAAAACACCTGACAGTACTTCCAGCAACTGCACTTGCCAGCACAGAGGTGACCATAAAGGCCTCCACAGAGGCCATCTAAAATAATCTTTGCAGACTAGTAGCTCCATAAACCTGGCTTAAAATATCAGTTGTCAATGCAGAAGGAATGGAGAGGCCCCAGAAGAACTCTCTAGGAAGCTTTGTGGATTTTTTCAGCTCCTTCATGCTTAGCTGCATAACATCCAAATGCTCAGATGAGTCACAATGTATTTGTAAGATTCTTCTATTCTGTTAGAGTCCAAGATATAATACACATCTCCATGTCTCATTTCTGTAGGAATTCCCCCTTTACCTAATAAGCAGTCTCTTTTGAAATCTACTGAAGTACTAAAGGACATAACGATCTACACCTCACACTGGCTGAGAATGTAATATTGTATAATAGCTGTCCCTCTATTAAAGTCACTGGTGGCATTAAAGTTAGCATATATATGTCAATTTACTCAAGATAACCCATGTATAAATATATCAGCTAACTGAAAAATGAATGAGTGATTCTTTCAGTTACATCTTGAAGGTAATTAGTATTTAACTTTTTAATGCAGCTAGAATAATAGTTTTAGACAGAAATAACTCTCATCTGGAATAAAAGTTTTCCTTTGCAAAGTCCATATTCAGTAACATATGACACATATATTAAAAGATGCAACAGTACATTTTAGATGGCAGTAGCTTAAAAATTTGACCATGCAATAAGCTATTCACAGGCATTCAAGAGAATAACCCACATAATCCAAAAGAATGCAGGAAGCAAGTGCTGTAACCAAAGGCCCCATGAAAGTAAAGAAAGTCATCTCTTGCCCACTACTAGTACAAGATGGGTCATGTGATGTTTCTGTAGAAGTAGACAAAGCCCAGTTCCCCTTTCCTTTCACCGGCCCTGCCCTACCGCATTTTCGTGTTCGCCTCCAAGGGCCAGCAGCTTGGTAACGGGGCTTTCCGGTGTGCCAATATCACTGACTGGAGGCATGTGTCCGTTTCTGAGAATAGAGGTCACTCCCACAGGCTGGATTGTGTGAGAGTGGGAGAGGGAAAGTGTCTGGCTGGACAGCTTGGTATCAAGGGTCAAGTACTGCTTCACTTGGTGCCTCTGGCTCTGCTGTATGTGGTATCTAGACTGATTTTCCAAGTGTGTTTGTACCTGGGGAGGAATAGAAATAATTGCTGAATTTTCAAGTTGCTAGTATCAGTATTTGCCAATATGCTTACTTAATAATACTTCAAAACAATAGATTCAGTTTTAATAACACTTGGATAGAATTAACAACCTTAATCTTTTTTTCAGTTTTACACACACATTTCTTATTTGTGTACCATTTTCCCCTTACACAGCTGAACAAACCCTCTGAATAATTATAAAGAAAAATATAATTAGAAAAGATAACCATGATCCTGAGAAAAGACCAGAAATATGCTACACATTTTTCTCTTCTAATTTAAAAATTATCTTTCTTGAGATTACTACAATCAAATCTACAAGCATATATGTACTCTAAAATTAATATCAAAATGTATTTACTCTTTCGTACATGAAAGAGTAAATAAATGCATGAAGAAAAATATAATCCAACCAATAAATATAACAAAATATAATCCAACTTCAAATGATATCAACAGCAGCAGACATTATTTCAGATTATTTGAGGAGTGAAGGACATCATAAAATCTAATGGTTAGGAGATTATCCATCCCCTCCTAGGCACTCCTGTTGTCTATTACCTGGCTTTCCTAATCACAATGAATTTAAAGTCTATTCAGAACCAGAAACATCAAGCACAAAGGAAGCCGAAAGCATCCAACACAAATGTAAATATAACTCCACCAGTTCCACAAAGCAGAAACAGAAATGAACACTCTTGAGATGGATTTTGTAATCCAGAAAAAGATCCCAATGCACATGTAACTGACTGTACCCCTTTCTGTTTTATACCTCACTGACAAGTCTGTTCTGGGAACAAGAACATAGCAGCCTTTAAGAGTTACAGATGCATATTCAAGCTTCTTCAACTGCTCTTTCTAACTTGAGTACACATCATCATGTTGTAAAACTGTGGTAGAGTTGTGCAATGTCTTTTCCCACAGTCACACTAAGTTTACTTTTGTTTCTAATACGTTGCACAATGGCATAACTAGGTCTTCAACATTTTCTGATGGGATTTTTCTTCTGCTAGTACAAGAATATGTAGCATGTCAAAAGTAAGAAAGAGGACATATTTAGGGGACCTAAAGGAGGCATGAAGAGTGTCACTGATTTTCCAGTAAGCAGCAGTGCTACATCTTTTTTGGTGTTCCACTAAGAACAAACAGATGATATCTGTACTCCTAGGCTGCTTCGCCCACCATCAGTCCCAAGAGAAATAATAGGAAAACTGGAAAGAGATTTAATTAATAAATTATTAAAAGATAGGAATATAATTAATGCTAGTCAACATAGTTCTGTGCAAAATAAGCCTTGTCAAACAAATCTACTTCTGCTCTTTGATGAGATTTTAAGTTAGATTGCCAAAGGTAACGATGTAGGTATAATACACTTCAACTTTTGTGTGCCTTTTGACTTAGCATCATTCAATATTCTAATTAAAAATATAGCACTACACAATATCAATAAAGAGTGTTTTAACGAGTTTAAGCACTGGCTAGCAAACATGCATAAGAAAGTGACTAGCTTGGCATCAGAAAGAGAGGCTGTTCAGTCTTGTACTACTCAATTTAACCATCATAGATTTGGGACCAATGAAAAATATAACAGACTAAAAAGAATAAATATTTTTAGAGCAGTGTTCCCAGTCAGAAAAATACAAATCTGCATATGCTGGAGGAAGAAATACAGGAGCCATCAATGACGAAAACACTTCAAGCAATAAGTCTGTCTGTAAAGAATTTGGCATCATAACAAACCAGCAACTCAGCAGGAGTGTCCCACTGACACTATAGGAAGAAAGGGAAAATAACATAAAGGAAGTAGTGAATAGGATCCTGGTTTAACTCTGCTTTTATTTATGGCTCAGGAGAGGTCAATAATAGAAGCCTAAAAATATTTCTACTCTAAACATATTTGAAACGTAGATATTGAAAAATAGAAAGTATGTAGAAAAGAACTATGGAAGTAATTGTAGGCTGAGAAAAGTATGTTTGAATGAAAACTAAAGAAACTCAGTTATATTCTTGTCAATTTGTGAAAATAAATTGTGAAAATCATGAGAGATCCTGAATGTAAAAGGGACTTTCAGCAAGCACAGAAGAGCTGTGGTAAGAGCCACTGGCCACAAGCTGATGCTAGGCAAGCACATATCAGAAATTGTGTGCATAAACACTGAAACACTCAAAAGGAAATGTTCTAACTGCTGTTTTCTTCAAACTGAGGATTGATGACTTTCTGGAAGAGATATAGTAGCCAAATCCAAAATATATTTTTATCATACACATTCTCGGACTCAAAGTTGAGCACTAGGATAATAGTTGAATGGAATACAAAAGCCTGTGATTTTAGAAGAATTAGAATGAGTGGTCTAATAACCCTTTGTGTGTTAAGATTTTATGGATTTTGAGATCTGAGAAATAGTTACTTTAATAGCAAAATTTTCTTTGATGAAAATTTACTCTGAATGTAATAAATGTTTAAATCTCTGCTACAAAATAATACACTTAAAGATGATCATAATATACTGGACAGAACTCAGCAGACTTCACTATAGTTTGCCATTTATGCTGAATGTTAATTTGTTCCAGTGTTTTTAATAGCGTCTGAAGCAAAATTTCTCATCCTGAGGGGATCGTGTCATTTATCATCAGTCCTGAATGCAACACTTCTCTGCAAATGAGTTATGGGGTTTCATGTTCTTTTCAGCCACTGTACCAGAAAATAAGCATCTAATTATGAACTTTTAATTATTAAAATGTTCTCCAAGCACCCGAAAAGTCTAATTCCATTTTAGGATATGAAACACAGTCACAACACAATTTTTGGTCTATTTCCGAGGGCTTTCAAATATGTTTTAAGGGTTAGGAAAAAAGCATTTTTAGTTATGAAATAACCCTTTTTAATTTATTACAAATGAATGTCAGTTGTTTGTTTGTCCTGCTTTTTTTATTAAACTTTTTGAGGAAACACTATTTGTAAAACTATTTCATAATAAAATGAAAATTCAATTTAACTTAGGAATTATACATTTCTGTTCTATCTTAAGAACTATCACCAAATACAGTATTCACATTAATGTTTAGTTTATAAAAGTATGTGTGATTATGCCAATTAATTACTTAAGCTAAACACAGTAATTAATTTTTAAATGTGAGTATTTTTCCTATAGGAACTTTGATCGGACTAGATAAGACCTTCCTATTAATATGCATGAAGAGAAAATACAAAGTAAAAGACATCCAGTCTGGAAACTTACAGCTGTGTTTAGTTGATGCCTTAGAGTAGCTTTCAAGTTAAGAAAAAATTCTCATGTGACTCTAATGCGCTATTTTTCATCTTATTTAACCTTTGACGTCATATCCATCAGGAACTTGTGAATATTCTTTCAAGGGTGAAGGGACTGAAGAAGAAACATTCAAAAGTTCATTGACAAAGGCCATGTCTTCAAGAATGGCTATTACTTGTGTGTTTTGGTATCTCAATATCTAAAACGAGCTGATAAGTATAGATGAGGGGTAAAGTGGGAGCAATTGGAAATTCTCCATCATACTGCCAAGCATTATGAAAACCAAGAGGAATGCTGTAGCAAAATAACTGCAAAACAGACTTTGCAGAAATCAACGCTGGCTAAGGAAACTTTCTTTGCACAGCATAGGCAGCAGAACAGTGTTTCTCTAAGGAGGAGAAAGGCAGCAGAGCTCTCAGGGCTGTGGCTAATAGATGCTAGATCTTACAGCTCACCATTTCCTGACAAATCCTCATGCAGGCACAGGGATTTTGATAGCATTTCCCCATTGTGGTATTCTCTAGCACTCACTGAGCATTGATGGAGCTCAGTCCTTTCAGTTATTCCTCTGGGCTAACCTCCTTGTGCAATCAGAAATGAGTTGGGGGAAGCCAACTACCTGCAATGAGCAACTACAGAGACATTATCAGAGCAAGTACTTCCATTTGTGCCAGCATACCTGAGACACTCTTGGCTTCTTAATTGAACTCCTGCAGTTAAGATACACATAGCTCTGATGGCTCCTTATCCATCACCAGCTTGACTTCTGAAGAAAGGATCCCTAAGGTCTTAAGGCCAACTTGTCATATTTTAAAATAACAATGAGTCTCAGTGACTTTGTGGTCTTCAGTGGTAGAAAAGAATCAAGTTTTTTAACACTGCACTATAAAAACAGGTTATAAAGTTAAGCAAAGCAAACTACAGGAAGTATTTTTACAAAACTATCCCTTTGATTAAAGTTGGAATTTAAGCTGCAAATCTAAACTGTGAAGAAAACCAACCACTACAGTTAATAGACCACACAAGTGTAACAATGGGTTGCAATCAAATTATGAAACCCCAGCGAATATCTTTACTTTGACTCTGAACAGTTACCCTGTCCATGCTCTCACTGATTCTTGAGATCTGTTTAATACAATAAATCTTTACTGTTTCACTTCCTCTTTATTGCTGGTGTTATTACAGGACAGTGAATATGACTCTTGCATTTCAAGAATGTAAAGTAACTTTTTGTATGGTTAGCTTTGTTCTGTATTTATCAACTGCAATAATTAGCACAGACCCATAGAAATTACAGTTATAGCAGCATGGGAAATCCGTAACTAGAATGATGCATTTTATTCAACAAGTTAAGATTTTCTGACAAGTGCCATACATCTAAAAGAAATCTACTCCAAAATATAGAATGTACATAACACAGACTGATACATGGATAAGCAATAAGGAAAATTCTTGCAGACGTGAAAGCTTATATTTTAATTTCAGCATTTTTAACCATTTAGCTTCAGACGAAAGCACTCAGAAAAGACAAAAGATGACTATATTATGAAATCCACAT